AATAATGTCAACTCTGGAAAAAAAATCAGGGGACAAGAAAGACTATTCAGGAGCCGGGAAAGGATTGCTTTTCCGTCAAAAACTCGATTTCGAAAGAAATCCAACTTGACACCTTTTCGAAATTGCCGCTTCGATTGTGAATCAGAATATAGAAAGAGGGTGATTTAGGACAGAAAATTTGTAGAGGTTTTGCAATGCAACATACAAGTATCTCATTGCGGTGCAGAGCTCAAGAGAGGACCAGGTTACTGCCAACAAAATGCACGAACAGGGGCGGGTCCAGCAATTTGGCAACAACGGATTCCCTCCATTTAAACCTATGTTGAATAACCGATTCTTGTCGGGGCACCTGGCCCCTCTAACAATCGATACATTTCCATAGGTTTAAAGGGAAAAAAACAGTGTTGCCAAATTGCTGGATCCGCCTATGTGTATGAACAGCGTTGTGATAGCTCCAGCCTCACTAAATGAATCCGTGAATTACATCCATGAACTTAAAGCTTGCTGCTCTGGCTTTTGAACTTAATGCTGCTGGGCTCTTGTGGAAATTGAGGTACCTACGACCCTACGTAAGAGGGGCAACGATATACGGCCGATTCCCTAGGCGCGGGCTCTGGGCCATTTGAAATTGTAGCGAAATTCCCTGACTTCATCTTAAACTTAGACCGTGCAAAAATTCGCTGAGTTTTTTCACCGCTTTCCCGGCTCGGTAAATCGACCCGACCGGACCGGGCGGCCCAGACCACACGGCGACCGAAACCTTGCGTAGCTGCCGACCTGACGTGCACTTTTTTTTATTTTGTATAATCAAACTACATTTTGAATTTAGGGAATTATATCTCTGGCTCATCTTAGAAACAACAAAGAACCATCGGTTTTCCCATGTACATTGGTGCTTTTATGGATCACAGAAAAAAAGAGGTAGGGATTGTTGGATAATATGGACCACATGAGCAGATAAGTATTATTTTGTCTCAAATTTGGAGAATAGTCAGAATTTCAATCTAAGTAAGAATATTGGACTCTCTGTCAAGGAATTGGACGAAATGCCTGATTTTACTGCTGAACTGAAGCATGGTGATTGCTGCTTTAGAATAAGCCAATTAATGCTTATTTTACACGGATTAAATGAAATTGCTGATTTAACAAATAAATAGTCAATCAAATATGTCCGTCATTTTTCAAATGTACATTTTACAATAATGAAAAGCTAATTTAACCACAAGGGTGATTAAATTAGCATATCAGCATTTTTTGTTGTAAAATCTACACTGTAACATGTCCAACACTTTTTTTCAACTACAAAATTGTTAAATTAGCACTTTCGTTTTTTTCTGTGTAATTAGATTCAACTAACGCTGCGGCAACATTGAGTCCGGGACTCAGCACCGTGGAATTCCGCAGCACGGCCTTAAAAAATAATTTTTCGCGTTTTTTCGCGAAGCACATCAAATCCTTTGTCCTCGGAGGATCTGAAATCGGAGACGAAAAATAACGTGAAAAGCGACTGAAAAAAGCAGGGGGAGAAGTAGGCCGTCAACCAAAACCAACACTTCTCAGGGAAAAATGTACCGTGAGGCGCTTCCAAGAAACGCTTTAAAACATGTATGATGCTTGTTTTGTTTTCGGAGCGGAAAGGAACCCGCGCACATAAAAAAAGAAGAAGAAAAAAACTCCCCTCCTCCCTGCAGTGGTTGCAGAATCATACACTGACTGTGACCAGAGAGGGATGAAATATTAAACTTGCAAATTGTTTTTCTCTCTCTTTCTCAGCCCCCTCATTTTTTCTCTCAGTGGCGCCTTAAAGGAAACTCGCTTCTTTGCCAACCCTTCCGCAAGTAACGAAACCCTACCCGCGATCCTTTTTCAAAGCACGTAAAAGCTACACCACCGTGCTAAGGAAAAACACAGCAAGAGCCATCAGGTGTTGCCAACTTTCCTCCGACAACTCACGAATTTTCAGGAAAATTTGTGAATATTTCTCTTCCGATTTTTTAGAGGATTTCGTCCGTAATTTGATCTATAAAGTCTGAAAATTTCAAGAAGAAATATTCATAACTTTCTTCAAATACAAGTATTTCCTGAGACGAAGTTTGGCAACATTTGAATGCCCATACGTCGTTTTCACCTAGCACGGCAGTAAAGCGCAATGAACTCTTGGCACACGGCAAAGCGTGAAATTTTAAGTATGTTTTACCTGCGTAGCAGGCCAAGCCACATATTTTAACCTCATATGCCGCTTAATTTCACTCAGATTGATGCCACTAGTTATGACGTCATGCCACTAGTTATGACGTCACCGTGAAATTTCCCTGTGTAATATCAAATGGACTACATTTTGCAATTAGGCACTATAAATTCCAGCCTGGTTAAAAAACAACGTATGTGCCATTAGTTTCCCTATGCACATAAGTGTTTTTTCAGATGAGCCATAATTTATAGCTCCAAATTGCAAAATGCAGTCCAAATATGATCCGTGCAATAACAATAACACCCTATCTCAATGCTACCAATTAGAGTAAATTGAAAAATATACCAATTTTTTGGCAGTATCATCGCGCCTAAAACTCATTGAGATTTCAAAAAACTATCGTATCAAGGAAGGAGACTTTATTTTAAAACCCTTTCAGAGGGGAGAAAATTTTTCAAAGTTCGAAAGTTTCTTAAAACATTTTCATGGGTATCGGTACGCTGAAAGTGTCAAATTAAATTGATGCCGAGCAGAATGCCTTTTTTTTTTTTTTTTTTTTTTTNGACTTCATCTTAAACTTAGACCGTGCAAAAATTCGCTGAGTTTTTTCACCGCTTTCCCGGCTCGGTAAATCGACCCGACCGGACCGGGCGGCCCAGACCACACGGCGACCGAAACCTTGCGTAGCTGCCGACCTGACGTGCACTTTTTTTTATTTTGTATAATCAAACTACATTTTGAATTTAGGGAATTATATCTCTGGCTCATCTTAGAAACAACAAAGAACCATCGGTTTTCCCATGTACATTGGTGCTTTTATGGATCACAGAAAAAAAGAGGTAGGGATTGTTGGATAATATGGACCACATGAGCAGATAAGTATTATTTTGTCTCAAATTAGGAGGATAGTCAGAATTTCAATCTAAGTAAGAATATTGGACTCTCTGTCAAGGAATTGGACGAAATGCCTGATTTTACTGCTGAACTGAAGCATGGTGATTGCTGCTTTAGAATAAGCCAATTAATGCTTATTTTACACGGATTAAATGAAATTGCTGATTTAACAAATAAATAGTCAATCAAATATGTCCGTCATTTTTCAAATGTACATTTTACAATAATGAAAAGCTAATTTAACCACAAGGGTGATTAAATTAGCATATCAGCATTTTTTGTTGTAAAATCTACACTGTAACATGTCCAACACTTTTTTTCAACTACAAAATTGTTAAATTAGCACTTTCGTTTTTTTCTGTGTAATTAGATTCAACTAACGCTGCGGCAACATTGAGTCCGGGACTCAGCACCGTGGAATTCCGCAGCACGGCCTTAAAAAATAATTTTTCGCGTTTTTTCGCGAAGCACATCAAATCCTTTGTCCTCGGAGGATCTGAAATCGGAGACGAAAAATAACGTGAAAAGCGACTGAAAAAAGCAGGGGGAGAAGTAGGCCGTCAACCAAAACCAACACTTCTCAGGGAAAAATGTACCGTGAGGCGCTTCCAAGAAACGCTTTAAAACATGTATGATGCTTGTTTTGTTTTCGGAGCGGAAAGGAACCCGCGCACATAAAAAAAGAAGAAGAAAAAAACTCCCCTCCTCCCTGCAGTGGTTGCAGAATCATACACTGACTGTGACCAGAGAGGGATGAAATATTAAACTTGCAAATTGTTTTTCTCTCTCTTTCTCAGCCCCCTCATTTTTTCTCTCAGTGGCGCCTTAAAGGAAACTCGCTTCTTTGCCAACCCTTCCGCAAGTAACGAAACCCTACCCGCGATCCTTTTTCAAAGCACGTAAAAGCTACACCACCGTGCTAAGGAAAAACACAGCAAGAGCCATCAGGTGTTGCCAACTTTCCTCCGACAACTCACGAATTTTCAGGAAAATTTGTGAATATTTCTCTTCCGATTTTTTAGAGGATTTCGTCCGTAATTCGAGTCATACAGTCTGAACATTTCAAGAAAAATTATTCATAAATTTGCTAAGAAATTAAAGTATTTCCTGAGACGAAGTTTGGCAACATTTGAATGCCCATACGTCGTTTTCACCTAGCACGGCAGTAAAGCGCAATGAACTCTTGGCACACGGCAAAGCGTGAAATTTTAAGTATGTTTTACCTGCGTAGCAGGCCAAGCCACATATTTTAACCTCATATGCCGCTTAATTTCACTCAGATTGATGCCACTAGTTATGACGTCATGCCACTAGTTATGACGTCACCGTGAAATTTCCCTGTGTAATATCAAATGGACTACATTTTGCAATTAGGCACTATAAATTCCAGCCTGGTTAAAAAACAACGTATGTGCCATTAGTTTCCCTATGCACATAAGTGTTTTTTCAGATGAGCCATAATTTATAGCTCCAAATTGCAAAATGCAGTCCAAATATGATCCGTGCAATAACAATAACACCCTATCTCAATGCTACCAATTAGAGTAAATTGAAAAATATACCAATTTTTTGGCAGTATCATCGCGCCTAAAACTCATTGAGATTTCAAAAAACTATCGTATCAAGGAAGGAGACTTTATTTTAAAACCCTTTCAGAGGGGAGAAAATTTTTCAAAGTTCGAAAGTTTCTTAAAACATTTTCATGGGTATCGGTACGCTGAAAGTGTCAAATTAAATTGATGCCGAGCAGAATGCCTTTTTTTTTTTTTTTTTTTTTTTGATACCGCACACATTTTCCATGTTCATTTTTCTCCCATTCTTGCGGTTGAAAAAAGCGACTTAACTAACGATCGATTAATTAATTAATAATTAATTAGATGAATTAATAATTAAGAACTTCTATTTTATGTTTCAGGTACGTGGACACCAATATTCTCCTCACATCGTAGGAGTCCTTCTCTCGAAAATCACTTTTATGAAGGTAAAAGTGTATAGTTTCCATCATGATTAGTAATTTTTCTCAAATTTGTTTCTGTGATATCCAAGAATCATCAAGTAATTCGGTTCGTAGTGTGGGTGAAACAGGGATGTAAAGTTGAATAAGAATAATGCTCCACCGTTGGGTAAAATTCATTCCAAACTTAGAAATATGCAGACATTTTCTTTACTTTCATTGTCCATGCTTTTAACAGCAAAATTTAACTTTTCGAATTATTTATTTCATTAATTAAGCAAAGCCCTTGAAAAGATCACTCCGAAATTATGCTCTCTCCTTTAAAAGATCTTTAAATGGTGGAATGCAAGCAAGCTCCGGGATCGCTCCAAGTATATTTGGGCAAAATCAATGTTGCAACTGTCAGTGGAATGACCACGTCTGATTGTTAAAATCAGTTTACGGAAATAGGTTGGTTTTTTATGCTGAGTTTACTCTGTTTACGTGAATCATAGCATGCGTAGTGTGGGAAATTCCGTGGACACCAATCAGAATTTGATAGAATGAGTAAAATACCTTGAAATATGATTTTGCACCCGACTGCAAGTTTGACTCGAGGCATCTGTCAGTGTTGCAAATCATTTCAAACACTTGCTGCGCTAACAGAAGTCGTATACTCTCAAGTTACTGTCTAAACTACCGGCAATCCATTTTGCCCCAAAATATGAATTTGCTCCTCAATTTTCTTTAATTCAGTCCATACTGTTATAAGCGCGGCTTCAAGAAACCATTTGAAATTATGAGCTTTTGGTCTGCATATCCAAGACAGGATTCACACTTAGCGGTGCGAAACCAGTTTTTTTTACTCATCCATCAGACCACATATCTGATTGTGAGTTGAAATACTAATGGCACATACGTTGATCCTAAAATATGTCGGAACTAGTGGTTCCTTGTCACTACGACTTTCAATATCCCTAAACTCACTTATCTGCGTAGAATAAATCAAAAAGATAGAGGAGAAAAGATTACGAGAAGAGGAGGGGAAAGAAGAATAAGAACAGAAGAAGAAGGGGCAGAAATGAGGATGAAGAGAAGAAGCGGAGGAAAAAGAAGGAAGAGAAGAATATGGAGATGAAGAGGACGCAAAGGAAGAGATGGAAAAATAATGGAAGAAGATGGGAAACAAAAAAGAAAGAGATAAAAGAGAAGGAAAGGAAGAGTAAGAGGCAATAGAATAGAAAGAAAAGTAGGAAATGAGGAGGAATTGGAGGGAAAAGAGAGAGAGAGAAAATGAGTAAAATTGAGACAAGAAGAGGGAAAAAACAAACGTGAATAACGGAGAGCAAAAAGAAAAGCCAGTTGAGGCAGAAAGAGAGGTTGAAGAGGAAGATGAAGATGAAGGAGAAAAATAAGTTGAAGAGAAGAAGAAACTATTTACAAAGGTACATTTTTTTGTGAGCACGTTGTACCTAAAATTAGCCAAAATGAAGAATTCTAATGAAGAATTTTCACGAACATGCTCAATTGCTGCATATGAGAGTGATTAGTGAGCTGCGTTGACATTATTTTTTTAAAAAAAACTCTGATTTTTGAAATTGCAGAAAAATACATTTAAAATTGAGAGAATCTGCCACTTTGTGACGTCATCAGGCGACATCTCCCATTTAAACGCATGCATTCTTTAAGGGCCACGTGGGCGCAGAGCCTTCATTTTTTGGGCGCCATGGCCGATTTTTCAGGCGCATTCAGCGCGTTGGCGCCTGCGAATTTCGAACACTGGTTACGACTCCGAAACGTCCCGACGGGCAGCAAACGACGCGACTTGACGTCCCGCCGCGACGCGACGTGGCAACAGTGGGACCCCCAGTTCGGGGTCTCCGGCAAATTGGCGGATTGGGCAGTGCCGCGCTGCAGTTGTGCAGTTGCAGTTCTCGGGGGTCCGGGGGGCCAAGGGGGGCATTGGGGCAGCGCGGCCTTCAACTGCGCGAGCGTCGAATTGCGCAAGCGCGCGGCCCGCTCGCCGCTTTCGGCTTTCGGCGTCAATCCGACTGGCGGACTGGCGAGCAGGCGCGGTTTCAGACAGCCTTCCCACCAGGAGAAATAATATCCCCGAGAATTTTACGAGCACTTCGTCAAAAGTGCAATGCTAAAGGTATTTAGACCTCGAAACGTTGACGAATACGTAACGAGTTTTACTTTAAGGAAACTGCATATCACCTTTTTACTCATAGAGTACGCAATAGAGTCACAATGTGAATGAGAGAGCTGGCGCATTGTTCTCTGGTCGACTAGTTCCAAGCCCGGTGTGCGCCGAGCTTTGGTCACTTTTTCGATACATTTTCGATCCAAAATGGCGATGTGGAAGACTGATTAATTCTTATCTTCTTTGTTTTCATTGAATGGCCAGGTTCCCATATCGAAAACAATCGATTTTGTATCGAAAAAGTGACCCATCGTGACACAGGAATCTCGGAATTCGGGACTTGGAGAATGCTTAAAAGTGGCGCCAGCTCTCTCTTATAGTACTACTCCTCGTACTCTATGTTTACATTGGATGGCCGGATCTCCATGTATCGAAAAAAATCGATTATGTATCGAAAAAGTGACCTGGCGTGACTCAAGGGTCTTGGACTTCGGGGCCTGCAAGAAAAATAGGAGACATGCAGTGAAGCGGGTAATGAAGGTGTGTGAAGTGTTCATTGGCTCTCCGAATTTCCTTCACATCATCCTTACTGCACAAAACTCCGTGTGATGAATCTTTGTCCGTTCAAGAAGTTTCGTACAGGATGAATCTTATTTTAGCAAGAAGGAGCTACACCCAAAGTTGTCAGCTTGTCATTATGATCGGCTTTGATTTTCATCGGCGAGGAGTGTCCCGATTGGTTCGTCAGACCCGAATGCAACGATTCTCTGCGCCGATCTCAGAGTAAGCGAGGCTAGCCCCACGTCTTCGCCGCACAATAGCCTGTTTGAAACAAAACGGCCAAAATTCATCGGAGAAAATTCATGCTATAATGAGCCAGAAATAGTAGTCCCTAAAAGCTGAATACAGTCCAACTGTCTGATATTGCTCTTTTTTGGAATTGGTCCTGAAAACGAAAACTTTTCAACGGAAAATTCATGAGAGATTTATTGGGCCAGTTGTGTGAGTCACAAAATCGTATTTTGATTTTTGATTCTCGTCGATAAGTAAAAATAATAGGATCTGCCTAAACCGCAACTTCCTACGTTCGATAATAACCGAGATATCGCCCTTTAAAAAGTCGGGTTTTTGACGTTATCCCCCGCGGCAGTGACACCCTTGCTTTCTTCCACCTTGACCTGGTAAAAATTGGCAGTAGAATCTGTGTTCCAAAATACCATTGACCTACAGCCGGCTGTAAGATTTCCAATAGCTTTTATAGCCGGATACACAATTTCTTATAGCCGATGGCGATTAAGCAACAGCCAGGCGATAAAGTGTATACTAAACGTCACTAATTACGGATGCTAGTACTTAGTGAGTTTTTGGACTACAGCTCTCTTTCTGGGCTGTGGTATCCTGATTCATTTTGCGAGGAAAGCTCCGTACTTTTGATGGATGCCTGCCATTACTAATATATCAGAGCGGCTTCAGTTTCTTATGATGCTGTGCAATATCTCTGGTGTGGTGGTGGTGATAGTTGCTTCAAGCGCCGTGGCACGCTGTGGCGCGGCAGGCGAGCAGCCAGCGCGAAACGCGCATTGGCGCCTACAAACCTAACAGGGATACTTCACGCGTTGCGCAATGCGGGAAGTATTTCTGTTAGGTTTGTAGGCGCCAGTGCGTCGCGCGTCGCCGCGCCGCTCCGCTTTGTGTTAGGCTCTAATATTTAATCTGGCGGAGTCAGCGTTATTCAACTAATGATTTTGAAATGTTTGCACATACTGTATCGATTGTTCTCATTTTAATTGATGAAACAAAATATGTATTAAAGGAAAATATAATGTGTGTTTTGTAAATACGGATACGGTACCACCTTAATATGTATTAAGGTGGTTCCGTATCAAACTTAATGATTTCCAAAGCACACGAATTTCTACACAATTTCTTATAAGCAACAACCAGGCGACAAAGTGTAAAGCCCTGCGATAGGAACTATAGCCCGGCTGCATAATTTTTTATCGTTTCGTATAGCCCGGCCGTATGATTTTCTCCGCGTTCTACAGCCGGCTATATGATTATCTGTAGCCTTCTTTAGCCGGCTATAAGAATTCCTATGGTATTTTGAAACGCAGCTCCTATCGCCAATTTTTACCAGGGTACTTTTTTCCGAGTTTCACGTTGAACAACCAGTATAAATGTGCGTCACGCTGACTGATGAAAGCAAGGTGGAAGAAACCAAGGGTGTCACTACCGTGGTGGATGACGTCAAAAATCCAACTGTTCAAAGGGCGATATCTTGGTTAATATTCAACGTAGAAAGTCGCGGTCCGGACAGATCTTACTATTCTTAGCTAATCTATAAGAATCAAGCATCAAAACACGATCCTGTTACCAGCGAACTGGCCTATTCTTGATTTTCGGTCGTACGCTGAAAAAAAATTCTCGGCGTTTATACCAAGGTTCGTTGGTACCTTTATTATCTCACTTTTTTTTTTTACCAATTAATGGTATTTTTACCAAGACAGACTGGTGAGCTTACCTACAAATCGGTATTTTTACTGTTCTTTTTTCAGGTAAGAATACCACTTTTATTGGTAATCAATTCTTGGTAACTTTGCCATTTTATCTCGGTAATTCCACTACAGTCGATAAAAAATATTGGCGTTTTTACCAAGATCCAGTAAAATTACCGAGAAAGTTCAATAATTTTACCGAGATTTCTCGGTAAAATTACCAATTCCATTAATGGTACTTTTACCAAGAAAAAACTGGGATCAAATAGAACCCTGAGTTCTTGGTAATTTTACCCTTTTCTTAGTAAATACACCTAGATTTTTTTTCAGTGTATGCTCGATTTTCGGTCATATTTTAACCATCCCAGACTACAGAGCGCCGGCTTGTCGATCGCCTCGCATCAAAC